CCCCTAACGGTTCTTACCACAACGGCCATGGACGAGCGCCTCCGGGAACACAAGGACCTAGGTTCGCCGAACGTGAACTCGGGTCTGGGTAACGCAGCCTCCGCGCCAGCCGCCGCCGCCGCAGCAGCTCGTCCCATGCGCCTATCTGCCGTACGGCCGACGGGAGCGCCGCTGTTTACTTCCAAGGTTTCGGCGCCACCCTCGATGCCGGTGCCGGCGGCGACCCTGCCGCCGCCGCCGCCACCGCGGCGGCGGCGGCGGCGGGTGCCGCCATCGGGAAACGACCCCGTATGGGAAAACGCGGAATCCCACCCCGCTGGCGCTGTGCGTAAGGCCCACGACAGCGTCCTATTACCCAGAGTGCCACTGCCAACGCCACCGCCGCCGTCGCTGCCGCCTGCACTGACACCGCTACTGCCGACGACGACAATGGCGCTTCTTGCACCACCTCCCCTGAGCCCCATCTCTCGACCGTACGGCACATAAACAGGGGCGCAGACATCGTACCCGCTGCCTGTGCTGGGAATCTGCGGTACGGCATCAGCATCCAGGGCTGTGACACCGTCTGTCGTTCGTCGCGATGTGATACTGTCGCCGCCAACGCCGCTTACGTTTGCTGGGTGCGCAGGGCCTTCGACAAGCCCCCGGGGTGGAGCTTCAACCTGCGTCGCGACCGGTGCGTACGGCAGCTGGTTCGTTGGTCTGGCTGCCGCCGCCATTACCGCCGCACCTACCGGCGCCAGGCCCGATGGCGGCGGCGGCGGCGGCGGCTCCGCGATGTCTGAGGGCCTCTGCGGCACCCGATTGACGCCGCATCCGTCCCGTACATCGCCGCTCGCTGTAACGCCTTCCGCCGCAGCGTCTGTCGGCGGTGATAGCTGTACGGGAGTTGTCGGCGGCGCTGGCGGCGACTGCGTGGCGACGGCGGCGGGAGAGGGGGCGGCGGTAGCAGTGGACGAGATCGATGACATTGACGTCAGCAACTGCCTGTGAGATCCGCCGCCGCCGCCGCCCGACAAGGCGGGCGGGTGTTGGGCCCTGGCGGCGCCGTGAGGACTTGGATGGTAGCTTGGAAGCGACCTCACGGTTTGTGAGCAGGCGGAGAGGGTGGAGACGGCCGCACCCGACCACGTGCTGAAGGGAGCTGCGGGGGAGGGAGATAGGGAGGGGGGAGAGACGAGCAAAGGATTGGAGTTATGGAGGGGCGGCGGCGGGTAAACAGGCATGCAGTTCAGTACGGAAATGTGAACAACGGATGACACACGCGACCCAAATCGGGGAACCGTGACATTGGCGGCGGCTCCGCCGCCGCCGCCGCCGCTGCCGGATCGCGTCTGTTGCGGTGTCGTCTGATGCCGCTGCTGCTGAGACGCCAGCGGCGGCGGCGGTGGTGGCGGCGCGTCGCCTGCCTCCTCTCCCTCTCCCTCTCAGTCTTCCTCCACGACAGGGCATACCAGCCGGCCTCGCATACTGCCAACGCCGGAGCCGTACGTTCCCAACATCGAGTACGGCATAGGGATTTCCGACACTGGCGGCAGCTTGGACATCTCCGCCGAGTCGCCACTGCCGCTAAGGACGATCATGCCGCTGGCAAAAGCCCCCTCGCTGCTGCTGCTGCTGCGGCGGCGGCGGCGACGGCGACGGCAGCTGCGGCGACGGCGACGGCGGCGGCTGCGGCGAGCCACTTCGCTGCTGTGGTTGCACAGGAATCACCGGCGCGGGGGGGCCAGGCGGCTGCCAGCTGTAGCAGCACCCGGTAGCCGCTCTCCGCCGCCGCCGCCGCCGCCACCGCCTCCGCCACCGCCGCCAGTACCTCCCGACAGGTACGCCGCGAACGCCGCCGCCACCTCCGCTGACGTCGGACCTTGGTGCCTCTCAGCCGCCGCTTTGGCCGTCGCCGCCAACACCTCCGCCTGCCTCTGCTGCTGCGTCGGCGTCGGCATCGACCTTTCCTGACCCCACGTCCCGGCTTGCAGCTGCGGCCTCAGCCCTGTAGATCCGCCGTACATGTTTTGCAACGTGGATACGGTAGATTCAGATCCGTACGACTCGGATAGCTGTTGAGTCAACATCTTCTGCTGCTCCGGCCGCTGCTGCTGCGGGACGCTGTTTCGCGACGGTGGCGGCGGCGTCACCGGCGGTGGTGGCTGTAGCCAGGATGCGGCGCTGAGCGAGCCGTCGCCTGTGTGCGCCAGCGCCGCCGCCAGGCTGGCCCGCGACGGCGGCGGCGGCGGCGGCTGTTGCGACTGTAGCCCGGAATTCACTCCAGCTGACGGCACATTGGTGCCAATGGTGACGACTACAGCCGAGGTTGCGGCGGACGACGCTACAGAGGAAGACACGAGCGTGTTGGGCTGTAGCAGAAACGACCCACGGGTCCGTTCCTGCTGCTGCGGGAGCTGTAGCTGCGACTGAAAATCGAATTGCGAAACGGACTGCGAGCAGCGTGATCGAAGCTTGGCCTGTCGCAGCACCGCTCTCAGCGCCGGTGACACCATCATCCCCTCCCCTTCCCCCTCCCCCCGAC